TGACCAGACAGTGTGTTGTGTAGCGCTGTAAAGGTCAAATAATCGTTAAGTTTGTCAATACCATATCTTTCCAGTTGCTGATTTTTTCCTTAGGAAACTACTGGTACACAGATATTTTAACCATGATCAGAAATGTGTTATGTCACCACCTGAGGGTCAAGGTCATGATAAGGGGTCAAATGTCAAATCATAAATGTAATATTTGCAGATCATAACTTTGATTGCTGTCATGCTTTATTATGAAGCTTTAAAGAAATGTGTACCCCTATGACAGAAACTTGAAGAGGAAGTGATATATCGCAAATGTATCAAAAAGTTATCGGAAAATTATGTATCATGATTTATGGAGATTTTTGATTCATTCATTTTGAAATTTTCAGGAAACTACATTCTACTTAAAAGAAACCATATAAGAAACTTAACAGAGAAAAAAATACCATAATTAACATAACTTTGGGGGGAAAATATGCTCAACAATTTAAGTAACTTTTACACATATACCAAAATCAAAGGATTTTTTAAAGGGAAATACTGTATCAAATTTAAGGTAAATTTTGGCCACAAGTGTTTCGATTATTTTGAGAAAATCTGTGATGTATAAACTCCCTATAAAGTTACTGTAATTGTGGTACATAACTTCCATAGAACGTTACTTTCAGTGTGGTACATTTACATACTTTCTCTGTGAAGAAACTTAAATGTGGTACGTAATTTCTGTTGGTCAGTAGGTTGCTTAAAATTTAATTCAAAACATTGGTGGCCATAGTGGACAGCCATACCATTAGAGAGTGATTGTGATGTTTTTCAATACTTGAATCTCTTATTTAACTGTCACAGAACTGACTGAATGTACACACGAGCAATCTGCTTCAAACTATTTCACATAAGTAATATTGGGTGCTCACAAATCTCTCAAGAACAGACCTGTTGATTGGAATTTGAAATTGATCCTCGTTGAATTGACAGAGTAACTTCTTTCACTATTGTGTATATTCAAACAGAGACTTATGTAATGTTCATTTCCGTCTTTGTCATTCAGCCCATAGTTTGATTTAAACAACCACACACATGGTAGGTTTTCTTTACTCAACATCAAACAGGGCTAAAACTAGACGGTGTATTGCTGCCTCAGCAGTTTCTCTTGATTACATATATTATATACCTAAGGAAATGTTGGTTTTTCAGCGTTTACCACCAACAGCTCATAATAAACATGTCTCAAGACCCTGTCTCACCTCTCACCAACTTACAATCCACCATTCTCTAGACCCTTCCCTAATCCATCCATACCACGCCACAAGTGTCTAGATCCCCTCTCTACTCCAAATAGCTCGAAATCCACAGATCACAGGCCTTCCACATCCATCTCTATAACTGTATGTATCTAACCCCACCTCAGGACCCCCTCTGTCTATATCTATCCCAACCTCAGAACCCCTTCCTCCTCTGTCTGTATCTAACCCCACCTCAGGACCCCCTTCTGTCTGTATCTAACCCCACCTCAGGACCCCCCTCTGTCTGTATCTATCACAACATCAGAACCCCCTCCTCCTCTGTCTGTATCTAACCCCACTTCAGGACCCCCTTTCACCTCTGTCTGTATCTAACCCAACCTCAGGACCCCCTCTGTCACCATATAACCCCACCCCAGAACCCCCTCCCCTCTGTCTGTATCTAACCCTACCTCAGAACCCCCATCCCACTCTGTCACCATATAACCCCACCTCGGGACCCCCCTCTGCCTGTGTCTATCCCAACCTCAGACCCCCCCCCTCCTGTCTGTATCTAACCCAACCTCAGAACCCCCTCCTCCTCTGTCTGTATCTAACCCTACCTCAGAACCCCCCATCCCACTCTGTCACCATATAACCCCACCTCGGAACCCCCTTCTGCCTGTGTCTATCCCAACCTCAGAACCCCCTCCTCCTCTGTCTGTATCTAACCCTACCTCAGAACCCCCCATCCCACTCTGTCACCATATAACCCCACCTTGGGACCCCCTTCTGCCTGTGTCTATCCCACCTCAGAACCCCTCCTCCTCTGTCTGTATTTGATCCCACCTCAGGACCCCCTCCTCCTCTGTCTGTATCTGATCCCACCTCAGGACCCCCTCCTCCTCTGTCTGTATCTGATCCCACCTCAGAACCCCCCTCCTCCTGTCTGTATCTGATCCCACCTCAGAACCCCCCTCCTCCTCTGTCTGTATCT